CCCTGCAGCAAGATTACATGTTGACGGCGGCGGGACGGCCTCTACTGTCGCATGTTTCTGTTTACTCCATCAATCTCCGCCGCGACTTTTTGTATAACAGCGTTTGACTGCCCCTCTGCGCCACGCTTTAGCCCCCAACAGCCGTGTAAACACCACGACGACCCGCGCACCAATCACCTACGCATCTAGACCCTTCAGCTGTACGCACCACGATTACGCACCAACGGCCCGCATCTGCACCGAAGACTGCGCCTTCCTCGTACTTCACCAACAGAACGCCCCTACCACTCGCGCCTTCCTCTCCGATCTTTGCGACTTCCTCTGCGACCGCTCCGCGCCTTCCTCTCTCATCTCCGTGGCGCCCTGGACCCTGTCCAAACAGACTTCCCAAAGCGTGCCTGCCTCCGCGATCCAGCGTTCCTCCACGTGAGCCTCGTGCACCTTCACACAAGACATTGAAGTCGCCAACAGTTTTATCCATGCTTCCGCGGTAAAACAGCTTCAAAATCAATTACACTCCCAGGTCGAGTCGCCGGTGCACTAGCACTTGGTAGCACACGCTGCGACCCAACTAAACCATGGACGCAACAGCACACGTCCTCCATGCCGCCGCCCAACTGGATGCCCGCGCTGGTGGCATGGGCGGCGACACTGGAACCCGTCCAGGCTCGTACAAAATTATTGGTCTCGTCCTGGCGATTGCATCGGGAGTCTTCATCGGCACGTCGTTTGTTATCAAGAAGCATGGTCTGTTACAGGCGAACAAGAAGTACAATGAAGAGGCGGGAGAAGGCTACGGGTACCTCAAGAACGCCTGGTGGTGGCTCGGCATGACACTCATGATTGTTGGAGAGATATGGTACAGACTGCGAGGCATCACGTCTGAACATCCTACTAATACCTGGCAGTAATCTTGTCGCATACGCTTTCACCGACGCTATCCTCGTAACCCCCATGGGCGCCCTCTCCGTCGTTATCTGCGCTATACTGTCGACTATATTTTTGAAGGAACGCTTGAGCTTTGTTGGAAAGGTGGGCTGCTTCAACTGCATCATCGGATCTGTTGTCATTGCAGTAAACGCACCAGAGCAGTCGTCTGTCGCGCGTATTCAAGACATGAAGAAATGGGTCATTGCGCCCGGCTTTCTCAGCTATGCAGGTGTCGTCATCGTCGCATGTGTTGTCATTGCTCTCTGGCTCGGCCCAAAGTACGGGAAGAAGACCATGATGGTCTACATCACCATCTGTAGTCTGATCGGAGGGCTGAGTGTTGTCGCAACCCAAGGTCTTGGTGCTGCTGTAGTGGCGCAGGCTTCTGGCACATACGGCGGACAGTTTAAGGAATGGTTCCTCTATGTGCTGCTCGTCTTTGTGGTTGTCACATTGTTGACGGAGATCATCTACCTCAACGTAAGTCCCTCACTCTTTCTTGGCCATGTGGAGTATGCTAAGCTTTGCCCAGAAAGCTTTGAATCTGTTCAACGCTGCTTTGGTAACACCAACCTACTATGTCTTCTTCACTTCCGCGACTATCGTCACCTCGGCCGTCCTCTTCCAGGGTTTCAAAGGCACACCGCTTCAGATCGTCACCGTCATCATGGGCTTCTTGCAGATTTGTTCCGGAGTCGTGCTACTACAGCTCTCCAAGTCGGCCAAGGACGTTCCCGACTCCGCCGTCTTCAAGGGCGACCTCGACCAAGTGCGAACTGTCGCAGAGATGGAAGAACCAGAATACGAGCCCCGAGCCGACACCCTTCGCGGCGGCGCGGCAATCCTCAGATCACTGTCAAAGGCTAGGTCGCACAAGGAGCTTGCTGAGGCAAAGAAGATTCAAGAAGAGCATATGGAACCGATTGGCGAGGGCGAGCAGGTGGAGTTTGACGGTCTCCGAAGACGTAAAACGGTTCTCGACCCCAATCGGCCACCGACGCGCAGCGGCACCATTGTCCAAACCCGAACCATTCACCCCCCTCTTGGAATGTCACAATTCCCGACCGACGAATCCGACGATGACGACGACAACGCTAGCTTCCACCCCGGCTTCTTCCAGAGACTGCGCTCCCGAGGCAAATCGACTAGTAGTCGCGGCAGCTCTCACGCTCCAGGGACTGCAGGAATGGGCATGCAGACACTACCCTCGATTCCCCAAGCCGACGGCGCATCGGACCGCGAATCAGACGCCGGATCCTACAAGCAAACTATTATGACACAAGACACATCCTACAAGCCACTCGACACGCACATCCAGTTCGCCGCGCTCCCCGACCCGCAGTACCGCCACAGCCGTACCGATTCAAACGACTCCCTCGCCCCACCACGACCGAACCCTCACATCGCCAAACGCCAATTCTCTTTCCAAAATGTCTTCTCTCGGCACCGCTCAGAATCCACAGGCGAAGCGTCAAGTAGCAAAGTGCGACCGACTAGTAGGCATAGCCGGAAGAGCAGTAGAGAGGGTAAAGCCGCAGCTACTGCTACCGAGGAAGAGAGGCTGGGTCTTGTCAAGGGCGATTCAACAAATCTCCTTCCTATAGCAAGCCGCGATGATGATGACGAGCCGGTCGGGCCGCCAGGGTACTCGGATGACTGGGATATGCCACGGACGTCTAGTCCAGGGTTTGAGCCGGAGAGAGTGCAAAATAAGCCGGCGATAAGAAGGGTGGATACTGATGGCTCGGAACTCAGTCCGAGGGATCCAAAGGAGTTTGAGAAGGGCGGTGGAGGGGCGTACTTATAGCGGTTAGGATGATGACTCTTTTTGTCAGTCCTTCGCGTTGTATCTCCTACTTGGCTTCTTGAATGTCATTTTGCATAGTTTAGTGTATTCTCTGTTGGGCGCTGTTGGTATATATTGAGCGTCGGCGCTTTCTGCAGTGTGGACTGGCGCGATGAATGGGCCAGTGTATGGCGAAAACGATAGGCTTTTTGAACGTTAATGAGTACTATCATGTGCACGAAGACGTTAGGTGAGTGTACACGTAGATAGCAGAAGGAACACGATTGAGATGCATGGTCGTGGAATATATATATATCATGATGATCACCACCACCACTTTTGATCACGGGAAATCTTGCAGTGTCCGAGCGTTGGGCGCTTGGGTGTGGGTATATAATCCCTTCTCGTCTTCCTTCTTTCCTGTCATTATCCAAAACTTACTTCCTCCCTTACCAAAACATACCTGCAAGGAAATGATGTGCGCGGGCTCTCTCTTCCTTTCAAAATACCCAAAGTCAATCTCATGTTTTGTAAGCGACTTCCTGATGTCTTGCTCCAAAAAAAAAACATGACTGCATGAGCATACACCAAAAAGCCCAGAGCAAGAGCATCATGACTTTTCCGCCAGCTCTGGTCTTCTTCCCAGAAATGATACGCCGATCGTGCCATGTGTCTGGCGCTGCGCTTTCACAAAAACCAACCCGCCCATTGCGATGTTCTGCGTCTCCGAAGATTTTGCAACCTCTGTCTCGAAAGCGGATTTCACATCTTCAAAAATGCGTTTCTCAATGCGATGGTGTTTTTGGAAGTGGGCTCGGATTGTACCTTGGCTTCCAATCTCGACCAATTTCTAAATGACTGGATGATGTTACGTTTGGGCAGTGGGTGGTGATCGGGTATAAATACGTCCTCACGCCTTCCGTCTTTCTTCTTCTTCATCCACACAGTTCAGTGTTTATTATCAAAACTCGAATCATTTTATCGAATGTCTGAGCACTCTTCCTCTTTTTCAAAACTTCGATGCCGCCGAGACATGTCCGCGCTGCTGTGCTCCTCTCAAAATCCTAGCAGCTAGTGTCGATGACTGGAAGATCTCGGTGAAACAAAACACGACGTGCCAGGGCCATGTGCCGGCGGTCTTTGTACTTTTTTCAAAGTTATATCTCCCAGCTGGAAGCTTGAAAGTCGCTTCAAAAACATGCTTCGAAGCGTACATGATCTGCTCTGAGAGTTCGGCGGTCCTATCTCTTGAACGACAAGGTCCCACGTCTTTCTCTCATTCTCAAAAAAAAAACGCGAGACCAACTACATGTGTCCGAGTGCGATATAAGAGCGATTGATTACATGGCACTCTTATTCGTTCCTCATCCGCTCGATGGAGTTATTCTACCAAAACTCACACATGAGGCAAGAATGTTTCCTGTGCTGTTGAGAGTTCTCAAAAATGCAATACCAAAACAATGAACCTGGCTATTTATGACTGTCCTTCGCTTCTCTCACCTCTTCTTAATTGCGGAGATTGAAAGCAACGATGTGTCTTCCGATGCTGGGGCTGTATATAACCCCTCATCTTTCCGCTATCCTTCTTCCCTTCTCATCCACCCAAAGGCTTCATTTCTCCAAAATGCCTTCGCTAGCTTGACATGTTTCCTGCGCTGTGCCCAGTTCAATCCGCTCAGGGTCCAAAAGGGTATTTATCGACCTGAATGGCTGCACCATTTCCTTCTCTTCTATCCTCGATGCAAACACCAAAAAGAGCCAGCTTAAGTTCGACGTTGAAGTTTAAAAGCGTGTCGTTCTCTCTGTTTGTCGCGGTTTCCTTAATAGTTGTGGCTGATAGCAGGATGTATACGCTGTTGCTTTTTCCGCACTCATGTATGCCTACGTCAGCGATCACATGCAAATCCGCGATATTGCTGTTCATCCTAACACGCAGGCATCGAGACATGAGAATAAGCGAAAGTTTCAACATGCGAAGACAGCGAGAAGCTGCCGAGGTAGCCTGTACACAAGAACAAGATGCGCGCGGTGTGGTGACTTAGCGTGGTTGGCTTGCGGTGTGCAACACGGTCATCCTAGCATGACGCATCTTTACAAACCTAAATCATCGCGTATCCACCACCGGTAGATGAGCATGTGTGCATCAACCCCGCCACCTGCCCGCTTCATGCTAGCCTACTGTGGTGAGTTGGACATGTACATAGCCTTTAAATACAACCTCACAGCAACATACCACTGCACTACTGTCAATATTTTCCTTCTTTAATCGCCTAACGTATCCACAATGTCCACCCTTGCCGCCCAGAAAGCAACGGCCAAAGCTGTCATTGATGGATACAATGCGTGGAACATGGACAAGATAATGGCCTATCGAACGGAAGATTGTACACAACAAGTCCTCCCTGCGTCTCTTGGCCGGCCAGTCATGAACAACACCCAATACCGCGAGCGCTTCAGTCAGATGATTCCACATTTCAGGAACTTCAAAGTAAGACGCGGGGTTCTGTTTTGAGACGCAAGCAACTAATATCCCCTTAGGTCACCGTTCACACAGAGGTGCATGATGCAGATGCGAATACATGTATCATGCATGCGACGAGTACAGCAGATAGTGACATTGGACCGTACGCGAATGAGTACGCGCTCATCTTGCATTTCACGGAGGACGGGAAGCAGGTTACCAAGTTTTTGGAATTTGTCGATTCGGCTTTCTCCAACAAGTTCTTCAGAGAGCTGAGGGACGAGGGGCTTGGTCCGCAGTAGGAGGTGTGATATCGACAAAGTCTGTATACTCGGATGGTGAGATCAAACTGGGCTGGGTTATATACAGTAGTCGTACAACATTGATATTGACGCGGATACGCGTATCGACGGATGATAGAGTCTGTCCAGTGACTTGCAGCTGCGCTCTGCGACATTCAACCTCATTTCCGACCATCGTCACCTCCATCCATCCATCCTACCGCTTCACTTCGAAGTCACCTCCAGGCTTCCCAGGCGAATGCACCTGCTCATGATTGTCAAACTCCTTGCCCGAGAACTTGCCCTCACGGACTTTGTTCTGGTTCTTGTGGGCGGCGATGCTGTGTTTGGTGACGCTGTCGCCGTGGCGGTCTTCCACGGGCTTGGGGACGTCGGAGGCGTACTCGGACTCGTGGCGATGCCCTGGTCGGCTGGTATCATGTGACGCCGGGGGAGATGGGGAGGCCTTAGAGGCAGATCGCGCGGAGGAGGAGGATGTGGAGGATGAGGCGGAGGCGGAGGACGTGGATGGGGTGGTTGTGTAGTAGAGGGCTGCAGCGCCGGCGGCCGCGGTCGTAGTGAGCCTGAGGGAGTCAGTATGGCGTATGCAGCCGGGATTTAGTCGCAATGTTGAACACTCACCACGTCAATCGCGATGATGTCTTCAGCGTTTCCTTGGTGCGCTGCTCATGGTCCGTCGCATACTGTCTCCTCGCTGTTGGGCATCTGGCCCGGCATGGTGCGCGAGACAGAGCTCGCAGTGAGGTTGCCTTGGTGGTGAACATTATGTAGCTGTTAAAGATAATGGAGTGTCAACGGCAAGTCCTAGCCTTGGATATGTATGCGCCATCTTGCCAGGTGTTGATGGCTGGCCCCAAGCCACGCTACGTCATCGGCTTGTTTACGCGCCTTGGAACGTGGACGCGTCTGCGCACGTGCCTGCGCACGCTATGCCACGAGGCTCCTGAAGCAAAGGAAGGAGGCACCTGGATCTTCGCTATTGCTCCCGCGCTCCACTACCACCATTACCACTGCTACTGCTGCGTCTACTACGCTCTACAGCATCAAGCTGGTCCCATCCTCGGCATGCGTCACCATCACAGCTACATCTCGGTAGCGCCCTGCGCCGTGCCGCAGCGAGTCTTCAAGAACCGACGACGAGACAGGCCTGGACGGGCTGCATCATGTCTACAGGTCCACCTTCTGAGCACACCCCAGTGCTGGTCTTCTCTCCTGCGACCGCAGCCCTCTTATGAAACCTCTCATGCCGTCCTCGCCGCCGTACTGCTCTCGAGGCCAGCGCAATAGCTTCATATACCACCAAATCACCCAATCCTTCACATACGACCATAGGACAATGAGAATTAGGCTTCCCGTCCGCTCAGCCATATACAAGCATTGTACCGGCGGATTAGTAGTTAGGTGGGTGACCACTAGCGAATCCCCGCTGTTGTATGTTTTTGCACATCCTTCTTTTTGCCCTTTTTTTTGCCCATGCTATAGCGATGACGCAGACTAGACCAGCGACCTCCGATTTGTATACAATCGTGCTTTGTATATAAGAGGAACCGCCAATTCAAGCACCCGAAGCCGAACCCGTAGCGATACGAGCCCGCACCTAAGCCACTTCGAACCTCTATCTCCAGCCATGTTCGGAGGATCGCGAGATGCCAAAGCTCGTACGCAACGGCTCCATGGTAGGGTACCTATACGTCCGTAAACTTGCCTCAAGTACTGCTTGGCAGGTTGGCACTTTCAAGCCAGGATGTTATAGTGGGGCTCCGTTGTTTACGTCCGTAAAGTTGAGCTTCTGACCGACCGGGGCAACTTTGTCACAACAACAGGCTCGGCAGCAATGTACAGGAAACATACACGGACAGGTCAAGGCATCATAGAGTACTGTCAATATTGACAGCAAATGGTGCCGAAGTAATAGTCTCTTAGACTCTGATGAAGAATCTATTGGAAGTGTCTCGGCCGGACAAGGTATCTACTAAGATATATGGTGCTGCTTTCTCCTCTCTCTTCTTGCTACACCAAAACTGCCACATCTTCGTCTCGAACGTACCGACGGCCCCCTAAACGACTCTTCCAACCTACATACCTCAGGAACGATGCCAGGAATGAACATGACCGAGACTATATCCGTTGACTACCTTGTCATCGGCGCGGGTGCTATGGGCATGGCCTTCGTCGATACCCTGATTTCCGATAAAAAGGAGGCTACGGTAGCCATTGTCGATCGCTATTCCCGTCCGGGAGGTCATTGGACAGTTGCCTATCCCTTTGTCACCCTTCATCAACCGTCCCACGTCTACGGTGTCAACTCTCGACAGCTCGGAGACGAAAAGATTGATCAAGTTGGATTCAACAAGGGCCTTGCCGAGGTGGCAACGGGCGACGAGATTGTTGCCTACTACACCAAGGTCCTGAACAGTACTCTCCTTCCGTCCGGTCGCGTAACCTATTACCCACTGCACAACTACACTGGCGATGGAGAGTTTCAGTCGATTACCACAGGGAGGACCATCCGGGTTGGACCAAACACTCGCATTGTAGACTCCACATACGTGAAGGTCACGGTTCCCTCTATGGGTCCACCTTTGTATGAGGTTTCAGACAAAGCCAATCTTGTCACACCCAACGCTTTAGCAACAACACTGAAGCGACCTTACGGCGCCTATACAATCGTCGGAGCCGGGAAGACCGCAGTCGACGCATGCTCGTGGCTCTTAGCTCAAGGCATTGCCCCGGACAGCATTTCTTGGATCATGCCGCGCGACTCCTGGTTTATGGAACGCGCTACCCTTCAACCTCCAGAGACGACGCCCAACCCTGAACAACTGCAGGAAGAAAAATCCGCTGCCATCATGGGGTCCAAAACTTCTCAAGAGATGTTCCATCGCATGGAAGAGCTGGGGCATGCTCACCGTCTAGACAAGAGCATCGAGCCGACCATGTTCAGGCACGCGATTGTGACAAAGGCGGAGTTTGACGAGGTCAGAAAAGTCAAGAACATCATACGCCAGGGACGAGTCAAGCGCATTGACCCAGACAAGGTCACTTTAGAGAAGGGCACATATACTCCTGTGCCTGACACTCTCTTCATCGACTGTACTGCGCCTGGTCTAGGAAACGTGCCACCTATTCCCGTCTTCAATGGCAGAAACATAACGATTCAAAATGTAAAGTTCTTCCAGCCCACGTTCAGCGCCGCTCTCATTGGACACGTCGAAGCCAGTTACGACGACGAAGACCTCAAGAACTCTCTTTGCAACCCCTTTCCGTACACCCGCAAACCGGCGGATTATCCTACGACCCTCCTGGCTTCTATGAAGAACAGACTCAAGTGGATGGTGGAGCCCAAGGTGAGTGAATGGTGTGAAAAGTCTCGTCTTGACTTTCCCGTCATGGGTGCGCCGCCTAGGGATCCTGAGAAGGCCGCAGCTTTCAATGCCAGCATTGAGGAAAAGATCAGGGGTCTCTGTGATCACCTGGAACAAATGGCAAAGAACGATGCCGCAAGTGTAGCCTAGTTGTTGTTCAGAAGTCCTCCTTGGAGAGTGTCTTCTTCTTGATTAATCTGTTTGTTGAATTAATTACGCATTTGTATTCGAAATGAAACTACCTTACCAAACGTTTTCATTTTACCCATCTCTGGTCTTTGATCACCGCGTAATCTCACGTCAACCAGTCATTGTCGGTCCAGATAGTCATAAACGAACTATAAGCATTGCGCACCCTCTTTCCTAGGTTACATTATCTGTTCAAGAAGACACTTATGGGAACAGCTCACTTTGACGCAATTCAAGTGCGATGCCATACTTGAGCTATTGACTTCAAGAACACCACGATGACGCTGAGCGACTGAAATGCTCAAATCTTTTACAACTCTTAGCAAACCGAACGCAAAGAGTTGCTCGAATGATGAGAACCGCAAGTACATGTGCTCGCATTGGGAAAAAGGGTTATCACCAAACGATCTCTTTCCATCACAACAAACGTTATGACTACAACATCTCAAAGAAGAGGAAGAAGGGGAGTAAATCACCTCAGCCTTCCGCTGATCCAGTTGCTACCTCAATATCCGCCTATTGAAGGCCCTGAACGAAGTCGTAGAGTGCCTCATTGACCTCATCAGCTCGTTCAATATGGAGAAAATGGCCAGCATCCACAGTTCTAATCTGCATTGTCGGAGCGTATGGCAGCGTAGAACGTAACTGCTCCGACGGGATACCGACTGAATCCCTTTCGGCCGCGATGAACAGACTAGGCTGCTCAATGATTCCCGACATCGATCGAATCTCTGCGCTGCATTAGATCATGTGGAACAAAGCGGGCATGTGAGATCCGTCTTACCGTCCTCATCAGCCGAGTTGATGCCCCGCAAGTAAGATTTGTACCACTTCAGATTTGCCTCAACGCCTCCCTGTGCGCGAACGATGGTCTTCCATTGCTCCCGAGTCGAATTGGTGATGAAGTCGTTGCCGTATTCCGCTCTTCTATCAGCTGCGAGCCATTCTTGAAGTGCACCAATCGGGTTGAAATTCTCCGCCATTACTTTCGGTGCATTGAACGAGTAAGCGAGAGAATATAGGGAATCCAACTGTACTGTTGTAAGCTCGAATGCATGATGAGTAACAATGCTGAACGTACGTGTGCATCCAAAAGGACGTGTGCGTCATCTTCATCGAAGAAGTACCAGTACCCGAGAATGGGGTAGCCGAATGTTGCTTGTGAAATATTGTTATAAGCCTCCACGAAGGTTTGGTTGACGTCTATTCCGGGGGCGTTGTAGCCGATATCCAAGAATGCAAGTGCTGAGAGGTACTGAGACTGGTACGTGTGAAAGCGGGAGAGTACATAAGCTCCGCTATGGCACGTTAGCCTAGCGGTCTAGAAACAAGACAACGTGCGGCACTATTGGACTTACAGGTCATGCGAAACTGCGATTACCTTTTCTAGACCTTCGCAGTCGAGCAGTTCAGCAACATCAGATGCCATAGTCCTCAGACTATAAG